GGGGGAAGGGGAGCGGGGAGCAGCCGAGGCAGGGGGGGCTCCTCCTGCCTCCCCCGAAGAACGCTGCCACCGCGACGGCTGCCTCTACCCTCGACCTGCCCCCTCCTGTCTCGGCCTCTGCTGCTCTCCCCGGGGCTGGGGTGGATCTGAGCCTCCCCAAGCCAAAGAAGAGGACGGAGCCGGTGCGGATCACGGCGCCTGAGTTGCACAAGGGAGATGTGAGTATGAAACAAACCACCAGCTCTGCCGGGGGGGACCCCCGCTCAAGCCCTCCCGAGAAGGAGCGCCTTCCTGCGTGAAATCCTCTCCCCGGAGCAATCCCCCTGTGGATTTGTTTGCCCATAAAGCACAGCGTCTCTTTCCTCGCTCTCTCCCATCGTAAGGTAGCAAGGTACCACAACCTATTGTTGTGGCATCTACGGGGAGATTTGTCCTGGCTGCCAGCCCTAATCCTAAAGCGCTTTGCAGCATTAAACTGATACAGAAACCTTATTTATAATCATAATACAGCAAAACCCAGATTATCTGCACCCTTATTTATTACTGAAGTTAACGAGTTGATGATGTGGAGCTGCACGGCCTTGCGTGGGGGTATCCCAGAAAAGTCTCTTCTTTTGTTTGCTGTGCAATTGATGGATTTTCCTGTCAATTTATTGCTTATTTATCTAAAGGCTTCAGGCGTCCTCCAGACCTTTAGGTAATCGTTTCCCTCTTAGCTTGTGCTTTTTCGTGTTTGCAGTGCCCCGTGCCTTACGGGGCTCCTGGGGCTGTCGGGATTCAGCGCTCGTGGCAAGAGCAGGGAAAGGCAGGTCCCTGCCCCCCGTTCTTTTTTTCTCCTGGGTGTCCCCATTGACCAGCTTTCCTTCTCTCCCCTCTGCTCTTTCACTCTGGGCCGGTACTGTCGTAGCGTGGAGGTGACGGTCGCGTGGCTGCGGCTGCGTCTGGCCTCGGTCGCTGGTTCTGGTGAGACGTGGTTGCCTCTGGCTGTAGGAAGAGCTGAACTGCGAAGCTTAGGGTCATTTTCATGGGGACAGGTAGCTGGAGGAAGAGGTTTGGCTGTAGGGATTTATAAACGGCGTCAATTAATAGTGGTCTGCCAGCGTCTTGGGCCTGGGGGAGCTGAAACGAAGTCAGCGCGTCTTGCTTTGCTGGAAGAGCAGTCTGCGGGGGCGTGGGGGGAGCGGGTGAGAGGACGCGGGCTTCCCGGCCGTCCCTGAACCACACTCTGCTGCTCGCCCCTAACCAGCCCGGTTTGGCAAATGCCGGAGCCAGAGCTCCTCAAGCCACGGCTCCCAAACGCGGCAGAGGTGCGCCAGGCGTGGGACGTACGGGTTCCCCTTTTAGGCAAGCGGATGAGGGATATCCCATTCTCTCATACCCACTTTTTGCTTACTCACTTTCTTGCAGCGCTTTGGAACAGGCACTTCACAATAAAGCAAATGTTAGGGCTCTTCGCTTCCTCACTGGTTGTACGGTTACTGAAATAAGCTCAAATGAAAGGAGATTTGCTCCTTCCCCTTTGTCTCCCCCTCTGTGTTCCAGCGTATTGGCTTTGAACAGAAATACTGCAGGTCGTCAGTGTCAAAGCGAGTGAACGAACCTCGAAGGGAGAAGAAGTACCTTAAAACCAGAGCTGGCCCGAGCAGTTCCCGTTCGGGATTCCTGGAAGTCCCTCGGCCTGTGACTCGCGTCCTTGCTCCTTCCCTCTTTTTCCTTAAAACGCCTCCCATCCCTTTTGTTTGCACCTGCGGAGACCCTCCTGGGCAGTCTGCTTTATCTCCTCTCTCCCAAATGCAACACGCGGGTTTTATGGCAACTCCTGACTTGCCTTTATTTATGCATGTTCTTTGTCTTTGTCCTGTTTTATAATTTAGATAGCAAACTGGCAGAAGACCTTGTTTCCTGTAATCTCCTTAAAGTGCTCTGCAAAGCTATAAAATGATAAAGATGTTAAAGGCCTTTTCTGATGCCAGGGACGACCGGACTTTCCACTCAAGTTTTAAATGGATATTTAGCAGCTCCAGCGTTACTGTGAACAATTCCCTGTGAACCCCCGCAGTGAATTTTTACACCCTTGCTTTGTGTGGTTCTGTGCTTCCCCTCTATTAACGTAAAGTTGTCTGTTAATTTGAAAGAGAGCGCTGACCTTACGCCGCTTGTGTTCTTTGCCTTGTTTTAGGTTTATTTTCCTGTGGTTTACTAAAAAAAATAAAAACGTGTTTGGGCTGTTGGCTCTCTGAATGCTAATTTCTGGCAGGAGCCGAATATGTAGAATCTGAGTTTCTCCGCCCACCCGCTCTGCTTCAGAGCAGCGTTAAAAAGCCGCCTTGAAAATTTGGAATTTTGGGTTAGCGAATCCTTTTTTTTTTTTTCTTTCTTCTCCCCCCCTTTTGTTCCATAAGTTGCGTAAATGAGCTCAAGTGGGAGATTATTGTTTGGCTGTGGATGGATTGCTCTTACGAGGTTTTTAAGGGGCGATGCTGACTTGTTTGCAAGGCTTCAGGTTTTACAGCAGAATGCAGCTTATTTTTCTGCCTCTGCCCAGACGGCGGCAGACCCAGCTGCCTCCAAATATTGTGGCAAGTACTGTGGTCCTCCTCTCACTGCGGACAGTTTATTTATCTCTCGTAGTAGTAACCAGGGCAGGCTTTTATCTCTCTTTGCCCTGACACGGATGCGTCGGCAAGACTGTGAAAAAGAGCTTGACCGCATCCCGCTGTTGCTTTTTAGCTCGGCTCTCGGCAGATTGTAAATCCAGATCCGCGGTACCGTGATTCTTTGGCTGGTTCAAACTGAAAATTAATAAATTGCATAGCGGGTGGGCTTTTTTATTTTAATACCTCAAGTTGTGCTAAGCTCTGTTTTTCTTTCTCAGTCAGATTCAGAGGAAGATGAACCAGCAAAGAAGAAAAATACTCTTCAGGTAAATACCTAGGATGTTCAGCTGAACAAGTTTCACGGGGAAGAAGCATTTGACGGTGACAGATCTTGGGCTTCCACTAGCGTAAATCAGCCGCTCTGATTAGCGCGTGGCTTTTAGCGTATAAAATTCCTGAAATCCCCTGGGGTGTCAAGTCCCTTTTTTCGGGCAGTTTCATAAATTTAAATCTCAGGAAAATAGGCATTAATTTGGGAAGTTGGCGGATATTTGCAAGTACCGCTTCCCCCCCCCCCCCCTTAAAGCATTAATTTGGGAAGTTGGCGGGATATTTGCAAGTACTGCTTCCCCCCCCTTAAAAGTCCCGCTGGCCTTTTGTGCAAGAAAGCCCTGCAGCGTGTTCGAGGTAGCAAACGATTGTGCTGAGCAATGGGAAACCCATTAATGTTGTGCGAATTGGAGGAGATAGTTGGCAGGGAGTCAGGAAAACGAAAGCGTCTCACTCATTTCTCTTCTTTCTGTGAACCATTTGCCCTGCACGAAACTCACCAGGGACGCGGCGAGGGCTCTGGCTTGTCCGCTTTGCTTCCTCAACCCAAAAATTTGACAGTGAAAGAGACCAATCGGTTACTTTTGCCCTACGCTTTCTCGAGGAAAGCGGGAGAAAACGCCTCCGACTCAAAGCCCGCTAAGGCCCCGACCTCTTCCTCCAAAACAAAACCTCTGTCCAAGCCGGCGGTGCCCACAACTCCTTCTCCGTCTGCTATCAAAGCTGCTGCGAAGAGCGCTGCCCTGCAGGTAACCAAGCAGATCACGCAGGAAGAGGACGACAGCGACGAAGAGGTCAAGCCAGAGAACTACTTCTCCTTGTCTGACAGGAACGAGCCCAGCGTCGTGGGTGCCGAGACGTACATGTACTCTGGCACGGTGGTGTCGGAGGACCCACCGCCCGGGACAGAGACAGAGCCCCAATTCCAGGACGCTGCTGCTAACGCCCCTCTGGAGTTCAAGACGGCCGCGGGCTCCAGCGGTGCTCAGCACAGCTGGGCGCCCAAACCCGGAGAAGACTACGGCAGCCCGCCGTACAGCCAGGTCCCTGCCTACCGTACGGCAGCCAGCCGTACAGCCAGTTCCCTGCCTACAGCGAAGCCGGCGTGGCTGGTGCATATTACCAGGTGGGTTCACTGACTGGGAGGTGAAGCTTGATGGTGCCGCCCTGAGAAGGCGTCTAGGACGAGGGGCTCCGAATCGGTTACTGGAGCAGGCTGCGCCTTGCGGGAATCTGACCCGTCTGAGCTAGCTGGGACAAGGAGCAGAGATCCACAGCACTTAGCGCGACAGGATGCCGCTGGCACGAGAGCCGTAGATGCTCTTTGCTGGATAAATGTTTAATAGCTGCACTCATTTTAAAATGCCCCTGCGCAACTGCCCCCGCTGTTGTCAGGCTGCAGAGTCGGGGCTCGCCAGAGCTGATGTCTGAAGCCAGGTTGTTTCTAGTAATTCAGCGAGGTATTTGTTGTTGAGTACCTCTGAAAAAATGCCCTGTACTCTTCAGTAGTGCCAGAGTGATGAGGTGTGATTAATGACTACTTCGGGCAGCCTTAGGAGGACGTACACGCGTAACGTACTGTTCTCCCCAGAGGCTGAGTGAAATCCCTCTAGGTGAAAAAGCAGCAGCTCACGGGGTGAGGTACGCGATTCAGTGCTCCGTCTCGGGGCCTCCGTATGTGGTTGCTCCAGGATCGATGTTGCTTCGCTCTCGTGACGCGCTGGTTTTCCTTTTGCTGACAGGATTACTACAGCAGCGGTTACTACCAGGAGATGGAACCAGCCCAGGCACCGCCGCAGGAGATGAGCACCGACTCCTCCTTCATAGACGACGAAGCGGTTGGCACTTCGCTGTCTCTCCCGCTGCGGAGTTGGGGTTTACGCTCTGCTAGAACGCAGGACCTGCTTGGCAGCCGCAGTCCTGCCCCGCCAGCACGACCTGTGCTTCATGCTGAGTTGGACCGGGTGGTTGTTCCATGGGGTCTAAGCGCTGTGTGGCGGACACGTGCGGTGTCCTTCCAGCGGTCTGTTGGGCTACTGCTCCAGACGGCTTTGCTTGCTTTATGAGGAGGTGATGTTTGTTATTTCCACCGAGCCCAGCCTCGTTCTCCTGAAGGGTGTCTAGGGCAGACAAGGTGCATGGAGTGAAGACGTTGCTTGCTGAGGTGCAGATGAGCTACCGTTCAGACACCTTCGCGGTACATCCTCTAGCACGGTGGTGAATTCCCCACTTACTTCAAATGCTCAAAAACCTGTTTTCAAAATCCCGTTCCCATTGTCGATCTAATCTAGAAACTGCCAGCCTCGTTAGCTGAGCTGGTCAGTGCTGCAGAAGACGGTAGCCCATCCGGCGCTCGCTTCTTCGAGCGACCTCTTTGCTTCGGAGGTGGATTTGTGTTCTGGGAGGTGGATGTGTTAGCAGCAAAACTTCAGGTGCCTCCCTAGCACTTAAAGCGAGAGACCCAGGAGTCCGAGGGTCTTCTGAGCAAGACTGAAAGCAAGAGTAAACGCTCTTTTCCCTTCTGCATGGGAAAATGAGATTATAACCTTCACGCTAAGTCGTTTTAAGATATTCTGATCTACAGCAAAGCAGAACTCTCCTAAAGGAAAAAAATCCTGGCTGGAAAAATGTTTGTTGACGTGGCCTGTCCCGTGCTTGGGGAGCTAAGGCTCCGACCCCGCCTACCTTTGCTTGTTTCAGGTTAGCGTTGGTAGGTGACGTGCGTGTGTAACTCCGGTTGTTTCTGTTCTTTCAGTTCAAACGTCTGCAAGGCAAGCGGAATCGGGGGAGGGAAGAGATCAACTTTGTGGATATCAAAGGTGACGATCAGCTGAGTGGAGCCCAGCAGTGGCTGACAAAATCCTTAACAGAGGAGAAGACCATGAAATCCTTCAGCAAGGTACGGGCAGGAAGGGAGGAGCGCTGGCTGGGATTTTGGAGGCCTCTGTTCAGTTCCCGTTGCGGCCGCAGCTGGAGCTGTATTAGATGTTACGCAGTCACCAGGGTCGGGGGACCAGGGACCCTCGTGTTGTATAAATAATTACACACGAGAGACCAGTAGAGCTTCTCAAAACACAGTCCCAGCGTGCGGGTGGTAAAGACCAGCCAGGAACTGCTTCAAGCCTAAGGAATCTGCCCAGAGCTGTTTAATATGAAACAAATGCCTCTTGAAATGGCTTGTGCAAGCTCTTGTCTTGTTTTGCTGCCTGGGTCAGTATCTTTCCAGGCTTAACAGTTCACCCGCTTTTGCTTTCTAGAAAAAAGGAGATCAACCCACGGGACAGCAAAGGAGAAAACACCAGATCACATACCTGATCCATCAGGTGAGTGGCCTCCCTCTAGCGTGGAAACCGATCCAGGCGGAATTGCAAGGCTTGATGCTTGGCAGCACGAGGCAGAGCCGATGGAGCTGCTCTTTCAGCAGCCGGGGACCGGGGGGCTGTCCCTGACTGAGCGCGCCCCGAGCCCCGGGTGAGACCTGCAGCGGCTCCGACGGGGACGGAGGCTGCCGTGCTGCAGCAGCGTCCCGGCCGCCGCCGGTCCAAACAGCCTCGTGGCAGCAGAGCCTCGGCC